CGCCGGGCTGCAGGCCGCCGAGGAGCCGCGGGAAGCCCTGGGGCCACGGGAGCGGGGCCAGGTGAGGGCGCTGGAGGTGGGCCTGCCCCGGGCACCCCTGCGGACACTGCCCTGTTGTGGGAGGGGTCGTCCTGACCACGGGCTGCGGCTCGGGACCAGCCCCGTTGCGCAGACAGGCTGCACCCAGCAAGGTGCCGTGCCCAGGGCACGTCCAGAGGCAGGGCAGCGCTGGCCGCAAGGACGCTGGCGGGCTGGGCAGGGAGCGGCCGGCGGTGCCCAGCGCGCGCCCGGCCTCCCCCTGCCCCGTTGATCAAAGCCAAGGGAGCCCAGGTGCAGGAGCTTCTGGGCCGAGCAGGGAGGGGCCCGCACAGCCCCCAGGCCCCTCCCCGATCCTGGGGCCACGCTGACGCTGCTGCGCTGGCCCAGAGGGAACCCCGCTTCCTGCGCGACGTCCCCGCGTTAGAGCCTCAGCAGAGGAAGCTGCCCCTGCAGCTCCGGAAGGACAGCGCCTGCGGGCGGGGGGCCTTGGCCAGCCGGGGGCCCCCGCCGCTCCTGGCCCCACCCCCTCCGCCTCAGGTGGGCACTCCCGAAGCTGTCCACCGCTGCGGTGTGTGCAGCCTCGTGGCCAGGGCGGGGAGGGACTCTGGAGGTGCAACTGGGGGGAGGGGCGGCCACCTACTGGGGGCCCCAGGAGGCCCCTGGACAGGCAGGTGCTGGGGGCTGGAAGTGGGGGGCGGAGGACGCCCAGCAGGAAGGGGCAGGCTAGAGCTGGGGGTGGGGCCCGGGTCTTTACTCAGCAAATGGGGGTGTAGGAAGGCAGGGACTAGGCAGTGCCTGTGGGGGCCCAGGCGCAGCTGGCGGGCAGCTGGGCAGCTCCCGCGGCCGTCCCTGGGGCCCAGGCTGCCAGCAGCCGCCCTTGCTCCTTGACCCGTGACCTCACCCGGTGGCTCCCCTTCAAGTGGGGCCGCGTGACTCTCCCGGTGGGGTGGCCCGAGGGTGGCAGGTGGGTCCCCTGAACCCTGCAGGCCTGCAGGAGAAGGCCCCGGGCGGCCGGGCCCCACGCACCGGCCGGGGGCAGCCTGACGCAAGGGGGCACCCACACCCCTGGGGGGCTGCTTGAGGGGGAGGGTGGCTCCCCTGCACCGCACCCCTAGTGCTGCCATGTGCGCCTGGCACCAGCTGTCCCCCAAGGTGGCTCACCCTGCCTGTCTCCCCAGAGCTCCAGCCCCCAAGTCAAGGCCGATGAGGAGGCCAGCCAGCAGCGGGGGGGGCCCGTGTGCAGCCCCTCGAGCCCCCCGGCCAGGCAGCCCACCAGCGCGCCCCCCGCTGAGGCCCCCGAGCCCCGCGTGTCACAGTGAGTGCGGCAGCCCCCGGCTCGCGGGGTGGCTGAGGGCGGCTGCAGGGGCGGTGCGGGCCCTGCTCTGGCTGCTGGCGGCGGGGAGAGAGGCCAGGTACTGCCGGTTCCCCGACGCAGGGCTGGTCCCGGGGTCCTGCGCAGGGCCCAGGGCTGGCCCAGGCCACCGTGGCCTCCTGCGAGCCCGCCCTGACCTGCTGCGAGGCTGGCAGGCTCTGGGGGGCCTTTCTCGAGGCTGGCCGTAGGCCCCTGGCCGGGGCGGGAGGGTCTGGGTGCCGGAGGTCTCCCCGTCCCCTCCTCCAGGAGCTGGGGCCAGCACTGCCCACTGGCCACCTCCAGACCCGGTCCTGGCTGGGCACAGGCCCACTTGGCGGCCCCCAGGGCCCAGCACTGTGTCCATGCCTTTGCCCCGGGACTGCCCCCTGGGGGCTCCCTCCCCCCACCATGGCCCCTAGACCACTGGCCACAGCCGCCCCTGGGGCCCCCCTCGGGCGGCGCTGCCCGCACGGCAGGGCCCGCGGTCACCATTGCCCTCTGCACCTGTTCCCTTCTCAGCGAGCAGCGGGAGGGGACGCCCCCCGCGGCCACCCGGCCTGCAGAGGCTCAGCTGCGGCCTCCAAGGTCGGGACGGCACACAGCTGCGGCTCGCGGCCGGCCTGAGGCCCAGGGCCAAG